ATAACAGCTCCAAGAACCGACAGCTTCAGGRCTAGCTGGTAGTTCAGCATCTGCTGAACTGCCCTGGGGACACGTATTCCTTAGGAAATGCGCTGAAGTTGTTAACTTGCTTCTGATAAATCACAGACCATGACTTGGAAGCAATATTTTTTATGAGCCTCAGCTAGGGCAAGGGGTTAAAACAAAGACCTAGTTCAAGGAGAAATTTCTCTTGCAGGAGCTGGGATTGAGGGKCTTTAGCACTGCTCATCTCCACATTAAAGGCAGAAACCCCTCAGCACAAAGCACTGACGCAGTGCAGCAAAACACTTGGAGGAGCGGAGCTGCTGCTTTCCTACAGGGGTTCTAGGCTTGAAATGGTTAAAAAGGATTCTGGTTTGGGGAAATTTTGGCTGTACTTTGCTACAGCATTAGACTTCTCTGCTGGGTCTCTTGTACTAGAAACATTTAATTTATTTTTGTTTGTGTTCCGTCTTATGCAGCTAAGAAAACAGCTTCAAGTAGGACAAATTGTCTTGTTCCAGGGAGGAGGCCCGATCTGAAGAGTGAAAACAGCTTGCCGCTCGGAGGATCATCCACAAAASAACAGGGATTTACGGACAGTTCCCTACACTGTGCCCCTCAAGAGATATTAGAGAGCCAAGATATTAGCCTAAGGAAACACCACTCTCCCAGAGAGTTTCCAGGCAAAGTGGCTTCCTTCCTAGGAATTAGGTTCCCCAGTGCCTTGTCCTCTGGGTGCTGCTTCCTTGGGTYCATGTGGAATGAGGGGCAAGGCAGCAGTGCCTGCGGCATTGGTTTCTCCTGTTGGAAAGAAGAAGAACTGTTTTAATTTATCTTATGGGATCCTAGTGTGTCTTTCGTTGTATTTTTTAATAGATGGTGCTATGGGAGAGTTGGGTCTATTATAATCAGGTGCTCTTGTCTCCCCTACTTCTGTTCTGTGCAAGTCCCTGGCAATACAAAGGGAAGAAATTCTCCTGCAGATCGTTAATGGAAAGTGAGTTCTGGATACACGTAAGTGTGGATGTGTTGTGGAAACCGAATTAAAGGTTACACTCAGACGCTTAGAGAAGTGGCATGATGCTGTATGATCTGTACATCCCGTGTTTTGGCGTTGGTGTTAAAATGTCACCTACTTGGCAGCCTGGTTTAATGATGAATTTTAAACATGTAGGAAACAATTGTGTTACAAGGCACTCTAAAAACAATAGGAATGCTGCTGCTTAAAAACAGATTAGTTTAATTTTTATCCAGAGATGACAAGTATGGAGTCAACATTGTTTTACTCTCTCAAATGGAAGGTCACCATGAGGTCCAGACCCATCTCATTCATCTTTCTGCTTTCCAGAAAATGTCAGTCTTGCCCAAGAGGCAGTTAGAGATGCCTAAGTGTGATGGTAAAGGTGATCAGCGTCACCACACCTAGAACCGTTTTGCTGTCCATGCTTACATTATTTTCATTAAGAAAGAAATGTGAGGCAATTGCAGGCTTTTCCTAGACAAATCACAAGAATAAATTGGGAAACTGCGGGAAGAGAAGCTATTGACAATTAATCTTATATTTATGCTTAAGATGATGACCCTGGGTTTATTGCTAACATCTCAGGGTGCACGCTTGAGTTTGATTTATTAACTACTATCCCTTTGGGTTTCTCATCCAGGGCTGTAAAGCAGCTGTAGAAAGCTGAAGAGAGCTGCATGTCTTGTCTTTTTAGCCTGTTTCTTGTGTTCATTATAGTCTATAAACAAACATCTCTCAGGTCTGCTAAATAGATTTTCTGATTGAGTTCCCAGAACAGAGCACCACCAGTCTCATTAAAGCTTATTTATGCTACTTTCATGCATGAATAAAAAAAGCTCCTATTCACTGCCGATTTTATTTAGTTAGCGCCTATGTCTTGTGGTGAACACTGAATTGGAGTGACATTTTTTGGCACGGGAAAAAAAAAGTGGGACTGTGGAGAACAGTTTGCCTGCATCTTTTAAAAGACAAAAAGGAAAAGGTTAACCTGTTCTTGGCCGTATCGTATCGATGGAGGCCCCCAAAGAAAATACAGCTGTAGGCAGTTAGGAATATTCACTGGTAGCTATATTTTTTGGCAMGTCACTGGTCTGGGACCCTGAAGATAGGATTTGTTTCCCAGGGATGTCACCCACTTCCTGCATGATATTAGGAGAATCACTGGTTGCTCTGGGTCTCAGTTCCCYAGATGTAAAAGATACTTTCTTCCTCCTCTGCTTTTTGCTTATTTAGATTGATAGCTTTTCGGGCAAGTAACATCTTCTGCTCTGCCTGTGTGCAGATCACGGCGAGTCCTGCTCTCAGCTGGGGCCTCTAGACTCCATCACAAATAACAGACATGATTTTCCCTTTATGCTTGTTTGTCKTCTTCACCTCCATCCCTGCTACACTGCCTGTGAGGTAAGATTAACGATGGAAAAATGATTAGTAGAAATGAAAAAGGAGCAGGTTAAAAGTCAGCAGGTGTGGGAAACTGCAAAGTGGCTTTGCTCTGCCTCAGCCCTGCTGGCTGATGATCTCATGCAAAGGTACCGCGTTTTGGAAAGAGAAGGGTTTGAGCGTGTGTTTTGAGTGAAAGGGTGAACAAACCCCAGCTTTGTGCGTTTCCTTTGTGCTAAGCACATTGTGAATATGCTTAAGCATTGCCACAAGGATTAACAACTCTGCATTTTAATGTGCCTTGTGCTGGAGTTGGACTAGAAGGCAGCACACACAGGACTGGTCTCTCCTGGCCGTGCTCTCTGCTAGGTGTCTCTTTGAAGTGCTATTCAATAGCATTCCCTTTGTTTGTTTGTTTGTTATTCCTTTTTCTCTCTTCATCAACAGTTTCTGGAACAAATCTGGACAGATTTAATGTTTCCGAAATTCACTCGTCTGGGGTGCTTTATCTTCAAATACTCTTCTATAGCAAACATAGCAAACATATAAAAGAGCATGTGGACCAAAGCGTGGAGTTTGGTATTTACTTTGGATCATTAACCTGGTCTGTAAATTTGGTTTGATCTCTCTTCCCTCCCTTCTCTCTGTAATTTCAGAGCCCGTGGAGAGAAGCTGTGTTTTGCTGCCTCGGGAGTCCAGCAAGAAATGGGAGTGTGATGGATTATAAATACACCTGCTTTGTCTAAAAGCCAGCCAAACAGATAAGTGCACTTTTAATTTTCTAGCAATAGTAATTTAGAGGTATTTGTGCACAAAACATCTCTCTCCACTTTTGTTTCTAATTTGCAAACCTCCTGTGCTTTACCATTGCTAAAAAACCTTCTGTGGTTCTCCTCCGGGCTGAGAAACACCAGATGATCAGTATTTCATGTGAATTCATTAGCAGCCAAGGGGAACTGCTATGGAGGGCTCAGGAGGTCCCTGCCCCTCCAGTGTTACTGTCCCCAGTGATGCTTTGGGACTCCAGATAACAAGGGATCAGGTCTCAGGTATTGCTGGTGTGACCCACGACAGCCTGAGGAATTTACTGTGACTTCTTAGAGATTTAACAACAAACTTGGCTCATTTGATTGAGGAGATGCTTGTGACAGCTTGGCGAGGTCTCAGAGAAACCAACTGACCTTCCTGGAAGGAGAGAGGGTTCTATGCAACTCATCCGTGCATGGAGAAAGGATCATTTCCATTTCTTCCTGATGCTTTCCAGGAAGGGAAAATAGCCAGGGATGTAGGAGACAAGCTGTTATTCTGAGTTTAGAGAGGGCCTAAGAAGTGGTACAGTGGCTGTGAGTTATCAAGAAAATAACTCTTGATGCAATATGATTCCTAAAGTAATAATTACCTACTCTTGAACAGCTCACTACAATAATATAATATGATTTAATTTAACTTAAGATAATTTCAGGGATTTAAGATAGAGTTTTCATGTGCAATATAACTTCACAATAATATGCTGTCAAGGGATTGGGACAAATATTTATTATACCTACAATTTACAACATTAGAATAACGAAAAAAAGATCTTCAATTTGAATTGCAATACCGTTTTAATGAGTACTATCCCACAAAAAAAAAAAGTGATATTTTACAGAGAAAATCAAAATGAAACAGAGAAAAGTAACAACATCTGCTTTCAAGCAGAGCATGTGGGTACTGGAGAGAGATGTGTGCCTGGGGACAGGATCCAAATTATTGAATCCAGACCAATCTTGTTTGCTCCAATAGGACTAATGAGCAGTGAAAAATGTCTATGTCCACCTCGCTGTTAGAGAAACTACCAGCAGGTTTGTTACAGTAGAATGACACTGTATTAACTAGCATGAACTTGTCTCACATACTGAACCTGGAGAGCTTCTTCGTAAAAGTACTAGGTTAGAATTGAGGGCAACCTGTGTCCACTTCTGTCACAGATCTCTGTGACCTTAAGAGACAGAGGACTCTAACCTTTGTCTCTTGACGTGTTTTATTTTTTCTTTCTGTCTATAAATGGAACTCATAATACCGCCCTTGCCTGCAGGAAAGGAGCATTGAGTAACGTGGAGAATAAGAGTCAAAACTATGAGGTAGAAGATGACAGCAGCACGAGAGAACTAGGTCTAGCTCAATTTATGTGCTCCTTGGAGCATCTGAGGAGTATCCTTAGATACTCCTTAGAGTATCTGAGTACTCTTTTCTAACATAGGCTTTTGAGTACTCTTTTCTAACATAGGCTCTTTACTTTTTCTATTGCTATTGAGAAAGGGTTTGTAATAACAGAAGGAACATCTCTAGTACTGAGGACTTTTCTTTGCATGTTAAACAATGTTTATTCTTGGCTCTTCAATCCTGTAATGGAAAAAGGGCCTGAGAATATACTAATAAACAGATAGAATTAAGCCTTAGTTCTAAAACTAGTATGAACTTGTGTCCATTTACTGAGCATGATTAGGAAATAAGAGCTGCTTAATTGTGTACCCCAATTAACAGAGTTCTCTGCTGCTT